TGGGGAGGCTGCCCTGCTGCCTGTTCCCCCGCCGCCTGCTCCCCCGCCGCCTCGCCTCCCTTCTCGGTGATCAGTTTATCGATGTGGGAAATTTCTTCCGAGAGCTTGGAGACGCTCTCGTCCCGTCTCTGGACGATGTCTCCGTCGAGAGCCTCCAGCCGGGACAGCAAGAACTGCTCCTTCTCCTCCAGGAAGCCCCGCAGGTCCTTACACTCCGATAGGATCTTCTGCCGCTCGGCTTCGGTCTGTTTCTGCAACGACAGAGGGGGGAGGGACCCGGGGCCGACTTCTAAACAGCTTCCCGGCAAGCGGAAATTCTTTGAAGAGAAAAGACGGGGCAGGGCGTGGGTGTGACCGCCACCCACCAAGGATCCTAAATCTTCCTTTAGGAGTCGCTCACTGTCCCCCGCTCTCTGCATTCTGGGCCCCAAAATCGGAGGTTGACTTTCGACGGGGTTTTTTGCCCTCAAAGTAGCACAGGAAGAATTGAAAATGACCATGATTAAGGGCAACCTGGGTCTGCAAATAGCCTGAAACCGTCTCTCCCGGAGACACGAACTAGCACAACCGGCAACCTGGGTCTGCAAATAGCCTGAAACGGTCTCTCCCGGAGACACGAACGATCACAACTGCGTTAACTCTGAAACCTACTGACGGCAATAGCCCGATAGCGGTTTTCAAGTCTCTAAAAGGGTGTTACAAGGAGGAGGGAGAAAACTGGTTCTGAGGACAGGACAAGAAGCAAGGTTGGACACGAGGAAAAACTTCCTGCCTGTCCAGGAGGTGACACACTGGGATAAATTGCCTAGGGGGGTTGTGGAGTCTCCACCCCTGGAGATATTGAAGAGCAGGTCGGACAGACGCCTGTCAGGGATGATCTAGACGGTGCTGGGTCCTGCCGTGCGGGCAGGGGACGGGACTCGATGACCTCTCGAGGTCCCTTCTTGGTCTAGCGCGCTAGGAGTCTGTGATAAGCTAGAACTCATCCTGGGTCCATGTTTTACCACCGATCGACACAAGGGACCTTTTTACGAAGCGGATTCATCAGCCGCACAGAGGATTTCCTTGGGCGATGGCGAGATCGGGAGAGACCAGAAACCCACCCCGAAGTTGGGAGCGCCCCACGACTCGGCCAGATGACCAGCCCCGTTGGGAGCAACAAACCTCGTCTCCCTGGCCTAAGCCAAACCCACCAAGCCCACGTTCTCTCCCCCCACCAACCCCGGAGAAACGGGTCCCGCGTGGGAACCTACCAGCAACTCCTCGCTCTTCTTCTCCTCGTTGGCTTTGGCTTCCTCCCGGTCTTTCCTCAGCCCGGCCAGCTGCTCTTGCGGCGCCTCCTGGAAGAAGCAAGACGGGTGTTTGTTGGGAGGGTCTCGCCACGAAGTCCCCAGCGTGGGGGACCTGGTTTTGCCGGCAGACCAGCAAACCGTCAACGGCGGCTGCTTCCAAGAACGTGCGAGAGCCGGGAAGGGGCATCGGGTCCTGTCGCCAGCCCTCACTGCAGGACCCAGCACCGTCTACACCGGTGTGCCGCAAAGAACAGAGTTCAACAGGGCCACTCTTAAAGGGGCAGGTGACTTTTTTCCCCCCTTCTTCTTTTCCACTCAACAACTTTTCCCTGGCCTTTTTTGTTTTGTTTTCTTGGCTCAACAAAAAATCCTCGGTGTGCCTCAGAAAAAAAAAAGATTTGGTGTTCTTAAAAAGTCTTAAAAGTCTGTCTTAAAAAGTTTAAGAAACACTGCTCTAGACCAGCCCTGACAGGCGTCTGTCCAACCTGCTCTCCAATATCTCCAGGGACGGAGACTCCACCACCCCCTGGACAATTTATTCTAGTGTTTCACCACCTGGACAGGCAAGTTTTTCCTGATGTCCCAAACTTTGGCTTAGAACACGGGTGGACAATACTTTTGACGGGGGCCACGCCAAGATGTTGGAAAGTGGCTGAGAGCCGCATTCTTGCAGGATATTAATGGAGGGTCTGGGGTGGAGGTGGGGTGCAGAAGGGAACGTGCGGAAAGAGTTTGGGGCACAGGAGGAAGAACGGGGTCTGGGCGGGAGTTTGGGTGAAATAGGTTGTGATCTAGGGGCGGAGCGGGTGGGGGGGTTGTGATCGGGGCAGAGGATTGGGGGCAGATCTGGGAGGGGTGTGGGTACAGAAGCGGGCAGAGGGGGTGGTTATGGGGGGGGGCAGAGGATTGGGAAAGGGAGGCAGAAATTTGAGGCAGACTGACTCTCTGGTGCAGTTGGGTACCGTCCGCAAACTTTGCCACCTTCCTGTTTACCCCTTTTCGCCAGAGCATTTAGAAACAGGTTGACTAGGACTGGTCCCGATTCAACTGATTTCTCGTTTCGCACGCAGAAACGCGATTCTTGTGGCACCGGCGTGCCGGGGTGTTTTTACAGCGCGTCGTGGGTAAGGCAGCCCAGAAAGAAAAAAAAAGCGTGAGAATCCCCCATCTACACCGTCCCGGCCAGTTTGCAGATAGTGTGGATTTCAAACCCGGCCTTCGGGAGCTAGCCAGTTACAAAGTGCTTCCCTAATTTTGGGCCAAACCTCCCACGCTGCAAATTAAATCCCTTTTTTGCCTGGCTTTCAGTGGGCACAGAGCAGAATTCATCACCGTCCTCCTTATGTTCTCAAGTTCTTTCTGGGAACCAACGGTCGAGGAAGGAGTCCGGCAGAAAGGGATCTAGGGGTCAGAGTGGACCACACGCTAAATAGGAGTCCACAGTGTGATGCTGTTGCAAAAAAAGCCAACAGGATTCTGGGCGGCATGAACAGGCGTGTGGAGAGCAAGACACGAGGAGTCCTTCCGATCAGGCCTCCGTTGGAGGAGTGTGTCCGGTTCTGGGCACCGCATTTCAGGAGAGAGGTGGAAAAACTCCACTCTTACAGCCTGCGGATCCCCTCAAATTCTCGCAAGCGCCTGCTTCGGGTGCGGCCGCGCCCAGAACCCGCCTGGTTTCCAAGGGCCGGCGCGTCCCGTGTGTGTGTGTTTGTACGGCGCCGTCTGCAAGTACGAAGAGGCGGGAGGGGAAACACGGCGGTGAAAACGGGAGTCACATGGAGGGACGGGATTTCTGAGGCCAGAAAGTTAGTTTGGGGGATCTAAACTGGGATGTATAGAGCAGCCGGACGGGCCCAGCAGCAGCCAACCCCAGGAACCCCAGAGGGCACCCAAACAGGTACCTTCCTTGTCACCCAAACAGAGGTTATGGACACCATCCCTTACCCATCCTGGCCAATAGTCATGGACGGACCTAACCTCCATGAATCTAGCACTTTTTTTGAATCCTGTTCAAGTCTTAGTCCTCACTGCATCCTCTGGCGAGGAGTTCCACAGGTGAACGGTGCACTGCGTGAAGAAAAAACTTGAAACTTGCTGCCTGTTTGTTTCATTGGGTGACCCCGCTTTCTCGTTATAAAAAGGGATAAACAACACCTCCACGTTCACTTTCTCCACTCCAGTCATGAGTTGAGAGACCTCAACCTCCCCCCTGAGTCGTTTTCAAGCTGAAAAATCCCCATCTTTTTAATCTCTCTTCGTATGGCCCCCTCCTCGTTTCTGTTGCTCTTTTCTGAACCTTTTGCAAGGCCAAGAGATCTTTTCCGGAGACGAGACGCCCACATCTTGCCGTGGGTGTTCCGTGGATTTATACAGAGGCGAGGAGAGATTTTCGGTCTTAGTCCCTGTCCCTTTCCTAATGACTCAAATGTTGACTTCACTGTGCGTTGTCAGAGCTCCCTCCCCCCCGGGACTCCGAGCGCACAAGACCCAAAGGACGCCGAACCGCGAGGCAGATCACCTGCCTCCTGCAATCGCCGGCGCGCCTCCGGGACGGCCGATTTTGTCTCGGAGGGGCCGGCCGCGTTAGCCTGTGGCTGCAAAAACAACGCAGAGGTGCCACCTTCGAGACTAGCGCAGCAGTTTCACGGAAGCGGCTGCCCTAATAAAATTGTGCGTTGCTACAAAAGATGCTGCATTTCGATGCCTGCTCCTGCCCCCCATGACCCACCAGCCCCCCCACCTGTTCCTGCATCCTCCCTCCCACCCAGACTCCACACCCCAAGCCCCCTTCCCCCCACACAGAACCCCTTGAAAGCGCCACAGGACTCCTGGGTTTTGAACATACAGGCAGGACGCCGGGCTAGATGGGCCTGGCCGTTCCTAGGGTAGGTTTGACACTCCCTCCCGGGCACCCGGCATCGGGACCCCAGGCTGGACGGGCCTTCAGCCTGGCCCAGCCGGACCGTTCCTAGCCTCGGTTCTTACATCCCCACCGGGTGCTGGCCGCAGTCAGCAGCCGGGACGCCAGGCTAGATGGGCCTTTGCCGGGCTGTTCCTAGCCTCGGTTCTCACACCCCCTCCCGGGCACCGGCCCCTGGCCGCAGTCAGCAGCCGGGACGCCAGGCTAGATGGGCCTTCGCCGGGCCGTTCCTAGCCTCGGTTCTCACACCCCCTCCCGGGCACCGGCCCCTGGCCGCAGTCAGCAGCCGGGACGCCGGGCTAGATGGGCCTTCACCGGGCTGTTCCTAGGCTCGGTTCTCACACCCCCTCCCAGGCACCGGGCCTTGGCCGCTATCGGCAGCCGGGACGCCAGGCTAGATGGGCCTTCGCCGGGCCGTTCCTAGCCTCGGTTCTCACACCCCCTCCCGGGCACCGGCCCCTGGCCGCAGTCAGCAGCCGGGACGCCAGGCTAGATGGGCCTTCGCCGGGCCGTTCCTAGCCTCGGTTCTCACACCCCCTCCCGGGCACCGGCCCCTGGCCGCAGTCAGCAGCCGGGACGCCAGGCTAGATGGGCCTTCGCCGGGCCGTTCCTAGCCTCGGTTCTCACACCCCCTCCCGGGCACCGGCCCCTGGCCGCAGTCAGCAGCCGGGACGCCAGGCTAGATGGGCCTTCGCCGGGCCGTTCCTAGCCTCGGTTCTCACACCCCCTCCCGGGCACCGGCCCCTGGCCGCAGTCAGCAGCCGGGACGCCAGGCTAGATGGGCCTTCGCCGGGCCGTTCCTAGCCTCGGTTCTCACACCCCCTCCCGGGCACCGGCCCCTGGCCGCAGTCAGCAGCCGGGACGCCAGGCTAGATGGGCCTTCGCCGGGCCGTTCCTAGCCTCGGTTCTCACACCCCCTCCCGGGCACCGGCCCCTGGCCGCAGTCAGCAGCCGGGACGCCAGGCTAGATGGGCCTTCGCCGGGCCGTTCCTAGCCTCGGTTCTCACACCCCCTCCCGGGCACCGGCCCCTGGCCGCAGTCAGCAGCCGGGACGCCAGGCTAGATGGGCCTTCGCCGGGCCGTTCCTAGCCTCGGTTCTCACACCCCCTCCCGGGCACCGGCCCCTGGCCGCAGTCAGCAGCCGGGACGCCAGGCTAGATGGGCCTTCGCCGGGCCGTTCCTAGCCTCGGTTCTCACACCCCCTCCCGGGCACCGGCCCCTGGCCGCAGTCAGCAGCCGGGACGCCAGGCTAGATGGGCCTTCGCCGGGCCGTTCCTAGCCTCGGTTCTCACACCCCCTCCCGGGCACCGGCCCCTGGCCGCAGTCAGCAGCCGGGACGCCAGGCTAGATGGGCCTTCGCCGGGCCGTTCCTAGCCTCGGTTCTCACACCCCGAGCCCCCACTCCTGGGGTCCCCCCCGGCTCTGGGGGGGAGGGGCCGGGACGCCTGGGTTCCCTCCGCCCCCGGGGCAGTGGGGCACAGTGGTTAGAGCCGCAGGGGGCAGGGACGTCTGACTCCGTGGTTAGGGCCCGCCCCCCGCCCGTGGGGGTTGGG